GTGAAAAAGCGTCACCCCGGCACCTGCCCCTGCACCACTACACACACGGACTCCTGTAAATAAATGCATTAATGGAATCTGTGGGCAGCCACGGCCCACGGCCGGCCCACGGCGCACGGAGCGTGGGATGAGGCGTGGGGTGAGGAGTGCTCCCCGCGCAGGGCGGGCAGCAGAGCGGGGTCCCGGCTGTGTCGCGGTGCCTGCGACTTTCCCGGTGGATGAACCCCTTGGGTAGGCCCGTGCCATCCTCGGTTACTTGGCATCCCGACTCCCACCCCGCCGGCAGAGGCTTCCCATGCAGCCAGGCTGGGACCTGAATCCTGTCCGGGGATTCAGCGCTTAGAGCTATTCGGAGTGGTGGAGAATGAACGCCCTGAACCTCAGGCGCTCCAGAGACGAGACAAGCCCATCCTGGCCCAGAACCGCGGTGCCGGGTGAGCTCAGCTGCCGGAGCTCCAAAGCTCTCGGGAATCTCGGAGGTGGAGGATTGTCTCCCTCTCCCGCTCCGAGAGGGCACCGACACGGTCCGTTGCCGGAGGGAGTGTTCCCGCTTCTCCAGCCCCCGCAACACTGAGCCCCTTCCCTCCTGGAAGGCACTTCATGAACGCTCGGCCCCAGGGATCACTGCTGGGGGCTCCGGGGGGAATTCGGTGTCAGAACGAGTGGGATGGATGAAAAGTGGATTGTGTCTAGTGAGGAATAAGGGAACTGCAGGCAGGATCGGATCCTTGGCACGGAGCCTGGCGATCTCGGACGGTCTGGGATTGGCCTCCCAGGTGGTCGTTCCTGATTCAGCCTCTGGGCTCAGGTCTGACCCCCGCGGCCACCGGTGTGTCCCTGGAGCCGGTGACCACTCCATCTGGGACTGTCCCGTTTCTGCAGGGACAGCGTGGCTTTGGGAAGAAAATGGTGACACAGCTACTGGGCCACGACCTCCTCAAAATCGGAGAGGTGCCGCATCTGCTCCGCCTGCATGGAGTGTCTGCGGAGGAGCTTCCTGCGGGCTCTCAGGTCGCCCCGCCTGGGCGAGCTGGGTGTGAGGGGCACCAGGGGCTTCAGCCCAGCAGCCAGCGGGGAGGGAGCTTTGCTGCAGCCGATGTCAGGGATCGGGGGGTTGGGGTTCACATTCAGCGGGGGCAGATATCCTGGCCTCGTGTGGGAGATGTGGTCGAGCAGCAGGGTCCCGGATCCTCTCCTCTCCAGCAAGCCAGGTGGTCGGCGCCGGACAGTGCTGGGTGATGTGCTCGCACTGCCAGAGGGAGACTCTCGTGAGCCATCCAGCAAGGCCAGGTGGGACCCACTCAGCTTCCTCCTCTCCGATGGCCCCTTCCCCATCTCGGTGAGGTGGGGGTCTCCGTTGTGCTCCGTGCCTGGCCTCCACCAGTGCAGAGTGTCCATCCCCGCGGCTGAGCCGGCGGCTGAGCCGGTGCTCTCTGGCTCCTCCGGCACTGTGCTGCTGTGGTGCAGGCGTGGGTGGGCAGCCGGGCTCTTCTCCTGGGTGGCTTTCCATGCCAGCAGCCCCAATGCCTGCTCGTCCGCCATAGGAAAGAGAGCGGGGTCCCTGCCCTTGCTGCTGCTGCTCCGAATGAGGGGGGTCTTTTTGGAGAGCGAGAGGTCTCCAATGCCCATGATGACATCCTCATCAGCACAGATGTGCGTGTCATCACGGTGTGCCGAGGCTGCCAGCACTGAGGGTGCCACCAGACCCCACGGCTCCGACCGCAGCCGCTTCAGCCGTGGCAGGTGGGCCTTCCGGGCAGTACCAGCTCTCTGGCCTGGGGAGGGTGGCTCAGTGTCCCCGGTGTCTCCAGGGTGTGAAGCGTGTGGGGTGAGAATGCTGCTTTCCTTCTCTTCAGGGGAAGGTGCTGAGATGGGAGCTTTCAGGTGGGCATGGGAGGGTGCTGCGCCCACCTCAGGGGGGGCTCTCTCTTTGAACTCCAGCACAGGGGGAACATTCAGGTACTGCTTGGTGGTCTTAGTGCCAGAGGCTGATATGTCCATGGTGATGATGATCACTTCCTTCCCCTTGGCTCTGCAGGCATCCAGGAGGTGCTGCAGCACAGCCTTGTCTTCAGCATTGATGGCGTGGACCAGCGCCGAGGCTCCTGAGCGGTCCTCCAGGCTGGGGTCTGCCCCGTTCTCCAGCAGCAGGGACACCACCTCCCCCCCAGCCCCACGGATGCAGGCGTGCATGAGGGCAGTTTTCCCAGACTTGTCCTGGATGTTGGGGTCAGCTCTGTTGTCCAGCAAGTACTTCACCATCTTGGCCTTGTGGATGCTCTGCTGGTCGACGTGTGTGGTGATGCAGGCCACCATCAGGGCGGTCTCCCCCTTCTCGTTGCTCTCGTTGATGTAAGCCCCCCCTTCCAGCAGCAGCCGGGTCAGCCGGAGCCGGCCGAGCCACACGGCCTTCAGGAGGGAGTTGCTCCCCAGCTCTAGCTCCGTCACCTCATCCATGGCACTGGCTGCTGCTCGGTGCTGGGTGATGGCAGCAGTGGCTGGTGGCTGCAGGAGAAAGCGTGGAGAGGTGAGCCCTGCTCCTTCATCCCCGCCTTCCCGGGATGCCATGCTCCGGGTACTGCCCTGCACCCCACTGCCCCTCTAGCCACATCCACCCACCTCCTGCAGGCAGCTGCCCAGGTGCACTGGTTTCCTGAAGAGATCAGAGAGTTCTTGATGGTCTCCACTGGCCTGCTAGGTCTGGGGGGCCACAGCATGAAGCCCACTGGAGACAGTGTGAGCATCCCACATGGCTTCTTGGGCTGGAGCTGGGGTCTCTGCTTCCCCTCTGCTGGAGGGAAGGAGAAGCAAGCCCAGTCATGCTTTCTACTCTGTTTCTACGCACCCGGTTTCTATGCCCCACTGCCCCACTGCTCCTGCTGCCCCGCCCCTGCTCTGCTATGGCCCCCACTTCTGCTGCCTCCCCGACTCTCGCCTGCTGCTCCCCATTCCTGCTCCTTCTTCCCTCTGCTCGCCTGTCCCAGTCCTCAGCCGTTCCTGGAGCTGCGGCAGCCGCGTGCCCCCAGAATCACCCGAGGGTGGGACAAAGCGCCCAGCCCTGTTTCCCCACCGCCCCCGTGCCCTCTGGTGGGTGTCCTGCAACCCCTGGACCTGTGGTATCAGTGGCTCGCACCGGGGGCAGCGCCTCAGCGGCTTTGCAGGCCACGTCGAGAGCTACCACCCACGGCCCTTCTCGTGGGGACCCTCGAGCCCGGGTAGACCCGGCGTCGGTTCTTCCCCACCCCCGCCAGGGCTTGGTGCCTCCGGCGGCCCTCCACCCGGGCCATTCCCGGTCCGCTCCCGACGCCGCCCCCGGCTGGTGGGATGGTGGGAGGCCCCACCCCGGCCCGATACCTGCTGCGCCGGCCGCCGTGCGGTGCCGCTGCCTGTGCCTGCGCCGGTCCTGATGCCGGTGTCGACGGCCCGATGCGGTTGCCTGCCTGTGCCCCTGCCGGGGCTGGTGTCGGTGCTCGGTGCCGGTGCCCGGTTGCCGGAATAGCGGGGCCGGTGCGCGCTGCAGCGTCTGCGCAGAGGAGGAGGCGGGGGCGGCGCGTCCGCCCGGGGGTGGGTGCGGGGGAGCGGCGGGGCGGGGGTGTTCCGCGTGCCGGGGGCTGGGGGGTCCGTTTGTCCCTGCTTCCGCGGTGCAGGGAGCGTGTGCGGGAGTGCGAGGGGGGAGTGTCCGCGCCCACCCGTGCGGGGGTGTCTGTGTGCGGGGGTGGGATGTGAGTGTACCTGCCCTCGGGGATCTCCAGATGGAGATGGTGGGACCCCGCCGCGGGCAAACCGGTCTGAGCCCACAGCCGGCCCCACTTGGAGCCGGGGGAGATTAGGAGCGCCCTGAGCCCCCTCTGGCGTTAGTAACCCTGTGGTCTGAGCGCACATCTGGGGAACCCCGAGCACACATCTGGGGCACCTGAGAGCACGCCTGGGGCACTGGAATGCTCTGTGCCGTGCAGGGGAAGTCGGGGTCCCTGCATCTGCTCCTCGGGCAGAGCTCCCTGTGCCCTGTACCAGGACTAGCACCAGCCTGCTGTCCCTCCGGACCTCCTTTGTCTCCAGATCTCCTTTGTCCCCAGATCTCTCATCTGTGCAGGAACCTGCTTCCCAGCAACCTCCTCCACTTTCCTCGGTGGCTCTTTTGGAGCAGTCCCAACAGGAAGAGGGAATTGGGAGGAAGGGGGAAATGGTCACAGATGCCCCTGACCCACCACCATAGCCCCCATGGCTCTGTACTTCCACAGGCCATTGCAGCTGTGAGGGTGTTGGTCATTGCACCCTCTGGATCATGTTAACATTAGGGGGAATTTCTCTTGTGATTAATAAAATATAATCTAGTATTTCAGTGTTCTTCAGTCAGAGATGAGGATGACAATGAGAATCAGAGCCAGCAGAGATATTAAGTCAGCCTTATCACATTAGGGAGCATTTGGAAAACCTTATGGCAGCTTTGTCCCGACTGTTAATGCAGAGTTAATGCAGTACCTACCTAAACTGGCCATAAAAGCCCCAAAAATGTGTCTGTCTGTCCATTTTCTGTGCATGAGCACACCAAGTTACTTGTAGAAAATAAACACCTTAACTTTTAAAACCACAATAATATAAAGACCTTAATAAAATAAACACCTTAAAAAAACCTCCTGAAACCCACAAGTTTAGAAGACAAGCTGTGGTGGCAGGAAGAGCACAGGCTGCCTGGGATTGGGGTTTCTACTCCAGCACCAGAGGAAGCCACCGCAGCCCCTGAGTCAAGGAGGGTCTGCCCCACTCCCAAGGCACCTCAGGGTGGGTCAGGGGTGGTCCAGGAGGGCCAGAAGGAGGGAGGGGGTGGTGGTGGAAGATGGAAAGTTCTGGGGCCTCAGCAATTGCAAGTAGGAGATTGTTGGAAGGAAGTGTTGGGGAGCTGACACCCCCCCACAAACACTCCTTCCTCCTCTGCCCCCCTTGCTGCTCCCATGAGTTGTCACCCCTGTGCCAGGCTGGCTGTCCTGGCTGGAGAGCAGGAATGACCTGTCCTTGCAGATGTTCAAACGTAAGAGTTCCTTTTCCTGCTCCACCAGCCTAGACTCACCAGCTTTAAGGTGTCTGTGGGGAGGGAGATGCCCCAGCAGGGAGGGCCGAGCATGGTGATACCAGCTCCATTATGCCAGTCATCTCGGGCAGCTGGGACCTCCACGGAGGGGAGCAGGAACAGCCCCTGTCTGCTGCCAGGGGGCCTCAGATCTGCCCCAGCCCTGTCCCGGCTTTGCAGAGCCAATGTGTCCACCTATCTTCATCCTCCTTGTCCTCCTTGCCAGTATCCCTGCCATCCCTGAGGATGCCATGGCAACGGGGCCACAGGGATGGCTGCTGGAGAAGCTGCAGCTCCACGCAGGACTCTGAGCCCTGGATTTGATCTCAGCAGTGCCTGCACAGCCTCGGGGGCAGTGAGATGGGATCTGCACATGGTCAGTCTGGGACAAGACTGGGATGAGGTGGCTTTGAGGTGCCCAAGTGTCACCCCAGGGTGCTCTGCCCACACAGAACAGCCCTGGCAGGATGTGGAGGGCTGGGCAGTGACTGGAGGTGCTGCTGGTGATACCAGTACCCTGTGGCATGGGTGGTACTGGTACCCAGAATCCTCACCTGGGCAGGAGGCTCCTTCCCCCTGGCAGGGCAGAGAGAGGCAGAGGGGGCACAACTGTGACACTGATGAGAACATCAGAGATGCTAAGTGCTTTGTGGGGCCACCTCAGCACCGTCCCACCTGGATAAGCCAGGCAGTTCCCATCCCTTCATTAGCCTGCTGAGGTTATGATTAGAGTCTGGTCCAGCTCAAAGGAGGGGGAGCTGCTTTCTGGGACTGTAATGAGGCTCTCTGGTCTGTGGGGTGAATGTCCCCAGGGCGTTCAAGGGCGCTGCAGTGATGCCTCGGGGGGCTGAGGCCATGGGAGCAGGGACAGGATGGCAAGGGGCTGTTGGCTCCCTGTGCTCTACAGCTCCAGAGGAGCTGCAGCCCCCGGCTGGGCAGAGCCGGGTCTGTCTCTCAGGGAAGGGGTTTGTCCCAAAGTGCTGTGTCCCGGCACCTTTGGACCCCCAGCTCAGGCACAGGTGGGATGCCAGTGCAGCCTTGGCAAGGGCTGAGCCGGCACCGTCTCCCCGGGGACACCCGGCGCTGGCGAGTTCTATTTTGGGCTCTTTGCCGAGGGCTGTGTGAGCTATTCCTGCCAGCTCATCCCCACACGGCCGCCGTTTCGCCGTTTATAGCCGTGCTCCCTGAGCCCAGCACAGGGGTAGGGGAGCTCAGCATTCCGAGGGGGACCACCGGCTCTGCTGCCAACGCTCCTATTGCCTGGGGCACAGCCCAGGTTCCCCGACCTGTGGGGCACAGTGGGCACAGCAGGGCTGCCCTGGGCACGGGGGGTCCCAGCCCAGGCCATGTCCCTCCATGGGGTTTCATGGACAGAAGTGTCCAACTGTGCCCACAGCACCTCGCTTTCCCCTCAGACCCGAGCGGGGCTGGAGCCTGGGGCAGGTTTGCCCCTGCTTTGACTGGGACCCTGATTTCTCCTGCTGGAGTACCGACTTCCCACAGCATGCTGGAGGTTAATCAGCTAAAATCTGTGATGTCAGTGACATCTCTGCCACTGTCACCTCCTGTGGCCATGCAGTGCTGCTGATTTTGTCCCCTCTGGTCCCTGGCTTTGGCCAGAGGCTTGAGCTGCAGCAGCTCCTTGGCCAGGCTGGTGGAGCAGCAGCTCATCCCAAGCTGGTGCACCGGGAGCGATGGATGGAACAGGCTGTGTGACCCTACGTCCCGTGGCATCGCCATGGGCATGGGGATCTGGCACTCTGGAACTCTAGGACTGAAGGGTGTGTCCAGAGGGACCTGAAGTGGATGATGCAGGGGGTGATGATGGAGTGGGTGATGCAGCAGATGATGCAGTGGGTAGTACAATGGGTGATGCAGTGGGTGATGCAGCAGGTGGTGCAGTGGGTGGTGATGATGATGCAGTGAGCGATGCAGTGGGTGATGCAGTGGGTGATGAGGCAGCAGGTGATGCAGTGGGTGATGCAGTGCTTCCGGAAGAGGCTGCATCGCCCGAAAGCAGCTGCATCACCCAAAGCAGCTGCATCATCACAGCGAGCGGCTCTGATGTCTCTATAGCAACCATGGGGTAAAAATAGTGCAGCAGCTTTAGGGAGCCATCAGGGCCCGGCAGGGATTGCTGCTGGGATGGGTGCGTGGGGAGCAGGGGCTCAGAGGGGAGCAGGGGCTCAGAGGGGAGCAGGGCTTCCCGTGCTGCCAGGAGCTGCTGCTCTGTCAGGATGCTCCAGGGCCTTCGGCAGCTGAGCGGAGGAGGGAATGGGGTGTGGGGCTCAGGGCATGGGGCTCAGGACGTGGGGTACAGGAGGTGAGCACAGCAGTGCAGAGCTTCCAGCTGCTTCTGCACCTCCCCCCTGCCTGTCCTCTCCCTCTG